TAATCAAAATTTTTTTTTAATTAATCATTCTAAAAAATATGTGATTAAGTATAAAAGTGTAAAAATTTATTCTTTAATTCCTGAACAAAAAAGATATACTATTCATAATCATTATAAGCCTAATAATGTTAAGCAGTATGAATTAGAAAAACATTTAAATAAGGCTATTGAAACTATCATTAAGACTAAGACTGAATAATTTTAATAAAATAATTTATTTTTATTTATTGGTTAAAATCAAGTGATAAATGTTGTTGAGTTGATTGAATTGTAGATTATTTAAACAAATCATAAACTCCAATTTGATAAAATTTTATTTAATTAAATATGATAACATAAGCTCTTGTGCTATATATAGTTACTACTATATGTGAAACAAGAAAAAAGTACAGATTTCTTTGTTGTGTTTCAAAAATTTGAGATCTATTTTTTATACATAGAACTTATTTCAAGTTGTAAAAACTTCTTATGAATCTTCTTTCTATATAGCTAGTCAAAAAAAGAAATTTGAATATATTGTATCTAAACAAATTTTTTATTTTAAATTTTTATATTTCCCTTATTGTATCGAAGATATTAACAATAAGAAAAGATTTGAAATTATACATATTTTTTCAAAAAGAAAATTTGTAATCAATACTGATCTTCTAGAAAATAGATTATTAAATTTTTTTAGATTAGGCACTATATCTGATGACTGGAATCATTGTCATGATTTGAGCTATTATTTTAATGATTTCATACTCAAAAAATTAATTTTATTTTAATATTTATGTGGGAGAAACAAGAAAATTAAATATCATTATGATAATTTGTTTTTATTAGAGTAATTTATAATTATAGAATTATAAAGATTTTTAAATTATAATAGTCTGATGTGCAATCAAAACATATATAAATAGGGTTTTATATTTTAATTCTAAATAAAAAAATACGTAAAAACAAAATGAGTACTTTTTTTCAATTACCAATCAAAATTATTACCATGATCTTTAAAAAATTGCCAATTTGAGATTTTAATAATATAAGAAATCTTGTTATCATTTGTGATTTCTTTTTGAAATTTGTTAAACAGCATTTTGGTTTTTTTCTTGTTATTAAATAAAAAGATTATTATTTCTATAGTAATGTGTATTATCAAAATGTTTAGATTTCTGTCTTGTTTAAAAAATTCAAATATTATCATGAAACTATTAAAGGAAAGAAGAAGAGTAAATATAAGATCAAGAAGTATCTCATTCCAAAAAATTGATTAATATTGCTTAACGAATTATGTTATATTTATAATTTAGAAGAAAATTATATCTATAATATCAAAAAGGGTGAATTTTATTTAGATATTGAAAAGAAATTTGAAACATTGTGGACTCCAATATGATATCGTTTTCATTACAAAAAAATTTTTATATTTGACACATTCTTTCACAAGAAATTATATAAGAAAAATGTGATTCATTATTCTGAGTTGGGTATTGGTGATACTTTTAATAATAGAGGAAAGAATTATGAATATGGAATTGGTGTTGAAAAAAATAAATATATGGTATGCAAATATTATAATAATGCATACTATCTGGGTCACATTGAAGGTGGCTTAAATTTAGCAAGATGTTATAGAGAGGGTATCAGGACACCAATCAACAGAACATTAGCCAATATTATTTCAAGCTTTTATACTTAAAATTTAAATATTTCATATATATGTTTTAATAAAAGTTTGCTGACTAGTGAGTGATTATATACTTTAAATTGTTTTTTTTTTTTTTTTTGATATTAAGGTAACCTCTTTGGTCTGGGAAACTTTTTATTAGAGTATAGACGAAGTTTTATGTGTAATTACAATGATGGTACATCAAGCCACACGTGCACCTTTTGAGTGCCTATTTAAGTAGTCCGCCCGAAGGTTCT